AGTCTTCAGTGTCACATATCCTTCAGAAATCGTTCTGATCAATGGCTCATGAAAATCACAGAAATAAATAATATTTCAAAGTATATTAAAATGGAAAACCATGATTTTGAATTGCAATAATATTTAACAATATTATTATAAAGTTTTTCTGTATTTTTGATCAAATACAGGCTTGATGAGCATTAGACATTTTTCAAAAACACTCACATACAGTACATTGTTTTAAAATTTTATTTAACTGCTTGTTTGAGTGATCATTGACAGAAATATTTTTTCAATATTTTTTGTTAAAATTTACGCTTGTAGTGCTGAAGTGTTTGAAGTACTAGAACTCAAATTAAACACTCCTGCAGAACCTGTACGAGAGCATTAAGAATGAGCCCTTCAAGATACCTGAAGACGACGGCAACGACCTCACACACACGTTCTTTAACCCTGACCGCGAGGGCTGGCTGCTAAAACTGGGTGAGTGTTTGTCTGTTCAGAAAGATAAAATAGTCAGTCTGAACAATACATGGCCTTTAACAGGCCCTATAAAACACTGCATGGCCATGAGTCTATGATTGTATCATTATTGCAGTGATTATTATGTTAAAAGATCTTGACCAAATATTTATGCACCTTTTGATAACATCAAAAACAATTTTTTTTTTTTTTTCTTATCAAGAGGAGCATTCATTTTTGGGCAAGTTCTTATATTGACAATGCAAGGGTCGAGCACTCTTCACAAAGCACAAAGTCTCCTCCAGCACATCCCAAAGGCTATCAATGGATTTAAGGTCTGGACTCATGCTCCTTCCAAACCGTTCTTTCACAGTTTGAGCCTGATGAATCTGGGCATTGTCATTCTGGAATATGGTCTTGATGTGTCTTTCTATATGGTTAATAATCTATATGTGAAAGCTACACATTCCATCTATTAGGAATAGAGGAACTGTTACCAAACATGTAACATGCTAGAAACATTATAATCACTGCAATGATGATCCAATCATGGACTCGTAAGCATTTTTCTATTTAAATCTAAACTGAAATCTTTTATTTGGCCAAGCAGTGTATTTTTCCTCATACCCCAGTGTCATGAACTCCAAAAGTAGATTTATTTAATTTAATCAGAGCTGTGAATTGTGTAACGTAATAGCCAAGAAGCACAGGGACAAATGCGTTATATTCCAAAGCTAATCTAAAATAGCTGATGCAACCTCCTTATTTATCTGCATGCTGCTCATATTTCAGCTCAGCCTGGATTTTACACCAGGCTGACACACACAAGTATTTTATTACAGCCTTTTGTTACGATATTTTTCAGATTTTCATGGTTAATTTCATTGTTTTCTTTCTTTCCACGTTTGTTGTGTTTCTTCAGGAGGTATGTACTGGTTTTCTTAGCTATGCTTCCAGGTGCTTTGCGCTTCCATTTACTCCTTTTGTTTGTCATTTTTTTTTATCTTATTTAACAGATATTTCATTTCATCAAAATGAAATTTGCCTCATTTGAGTTTTTAAACTGGTGTTGTGTCGCTGCGCTGTTGTGCCGTGCTCACGATGGGCTTGTGATGTTCGTGAGACTCTCTTTCTCCATCTTCTTGGAGATCAACTTGTCTGTTAAACATTAGATGTCTATTGGTCTCTACTGCGCACATGTGGTCAGTTGAAGAACTGCCTGATCTGCAGTCGTACATGCTGGTGTGTGAATGCTACATGCTGCTGCAAACACTTAAATGAAATAGTTGTGTGAGAAAGCACAGGAATATAGGAGATGATTTATAGCTGATATATGTGCAGTTTATTATTGATTCTTGCATTCATTCCTACATTTTATTACATACTCTCTTACTAATTTGGTCACTAACACCTTAAGCTTGTGCTTGATTCAGTGGTTTTGGGCTAACTGTGTATTTTTGACGAGGCCATTTCAGCTGTCCATCTGCTAATGTGAGTTCCCGTACACGTGTCTGTCTGCTGTGCCTCAGTCCTCATCTCGCCATGTGTCTCTGCTGCTCACCACAATTATTCTTTACTCATACAGACCCCAGCGACGGGATTCTTATTATACTGTCTGATCCACAGGTGGACGGGTGAAGACGTGGAAAAGGAGATGGTTCATCTTGACAGACAACTGTCTGTATTATTTTGAATACACCACTGTACGTAAACCTGCTTCAGTGAAGTTAAATGACTGAATGATCCAGTGGTAATATAACTCATCCGTTGTGCTCTACTGTGGTCACATGTGTTTCCTCTTCTGCCTCTGTTTTCAGGATAAAGAGCCAAGAGGGATCATTCCTCTGGAAAATCTCAGTATTAGGGAAGTGGAAGACTCCAAGAAGCCAGTAAGCTTCCTCTCGCTTTTCCATCTGTATTTCATCACGTTTAAATTACTTTGGATTAGTCATGGTGGTTGAAGTTTAGTGAGGCTGACTAGTCTTATATTTATTTATTTTACTTTTTTTTCTATATATATATATATATATATATATATATATATATATATATATATATATATATATATATATATATATATTAGCAATAGTGGTTTGATTAGCTTGCTGTGCTTTTACTTAAATCTCTTTCTATATTTTAATATGTGTGTGTGTGTATATATATACACATTAGGAATAGAGGAACTGTTGTCAAACATATAGATGTAACATGCTAGAAACATAATAATCACTGCAATGATGATCCAATCTTGGACTCGTAAGCATTTTTCTATTTTCTGTATATATATATATGTATAAAATTTATTTATTGATTTTTTTTTTATTATTTTTTATTTTTTATTTTTATTTTTTTATTATTATTAAAAGATATTTGTAATTTTTTTTTTTTTGGGCACTGTTGTTCCTTTTCCTCCTTGCATCCCCTTGTGGGCCCTGGAGCTCTATTAGATTTTGAAAATGTGTGTGGTTGTAATTAGCACAAAGGTTATGGGTTGCTAAAATCACTCATACACTGGCACCACTGTTCTCGTAACCTCGGTTTGCTCCAGTAAAATATAAAAGCCTCTTCTAAAGTATCTCTCTACACACAGAACTGCTTTGAACTCTTCATCCCAGACAACAAGGATCAGGTCATCAAAGCATGCAAGACTGAAGCAGATGGACGGGTTGTGGAAGGAAACCACACATTCTACCGCATCTCGGCGCCAACAACAGAGGAGAAAGAAGAGTGGATCAAAAGCATCAAGTAAGTTCTCCTCTAATCTTGCTCTGACAGCATTTTTAATATGCATATTAAAATCATATATTAAATATATATATTAAAAATATTATTATCATATTATTATTTTTTTTTACTATATAAAACACTTTGCTGTCGATTTATGCTGTTAAAAAAACCCAGCTCAATATAAACAAAATGAAATGAAAAGCTAAAAAGAAAAATCACAAAACTTGAAAACTGATTATTTAAACTGAAAATTAAAAAATCTAATTCAAAATATTAACAATTAATAAATACTATAATAGTATATAAATAATACTAAAATAGCACTTCTCATAATTTTGTGCATGTGATATAATAGCAAAATAGTTTGTTATGGTGAAAATTTCCTAGATAGCTCAGTAGTGAGCAGGCTATCTTTGAGGTCAACCAAAACGTTCCTTTCTCATTCTCTCCAGGGCTGCCATAAGCAGGGACCCTTTCTATGAGATGCTTGCTGCCAGGAAGAAGAAAGCATCATCTTTGAAGAGACAGTAGAACCGCTCATGTCTGCATGGATGGATCTCCGCTTCAAGGCCGCAAAGAGGATGTTTAGACATGGACCTGGAAAAGGGGCGAATGATAAACGGAAGCCATAACGCTGGATTGGAGCGATTTTAATCTCAGGAATGACCTTGAGTTTTGAATGTTGTCAGTGAAGTTGGCTTTCTTGGAGGTAATCTGACATTTATACATTTAATTCTCATGAACGAACGTTATCGTGCACTCACGTACATTATCATCTCAAATCAGCAGGTCTGACTGAATGTGGCGTCTTATTGACCTTTTCTAAGCTTGCTGAAGACATGGCCGTTCCTTTCTGTGCTTTGATACATATAAAATGCTAATTGTACACCTATTTTTACACTGCTACTGTAAGTATCTGGATTTTGGCCTCGTTTTGTTTAAGACGGTCTTACTGGTTTTCTAATCATTTCTGATCTGCTGTCATATTTATCATTTTTTTGTTGGCTAGAAATCTTTTCACATTTTGCCAAAGTTTGTCTTTCAGTCCTACTCCATGTAATACTTTCCTAAAACCTGAAGTTGACAGCTTCTGTTTCATGAACATGAAATGAAAATATATTTTTATTTTGATGCTGTTTATTTAGCGTTAACAGTTTTATTTGAAATATCAGGATTTTTCATTGTCACTGATCTCATAGGTGGCCTTGATGACTGAAATCCAAAAACATTTCAGTAAGTTTGGTTCATGTTTATGGAACAATGTCAAAAATTAAACTACTGACATGAGAGTTTATTTTTTACTATGTTTTGTATTTTACCACATTAAATGTATTGGTTAAATTAACTCATGAACAAACACAAAAAAAACTTTTTTTCCCTTTGCTTTATATACACTGTTAATTGAGAGAAAACTCTTAAATGCTAATTTATCAATGATGTAAATATTTAAACATATAGGTTGTTTAATTTTTGTCAAAATATACTTTGTGCTAAAGTAAACAGGGTGACGAAAAGGTTTAAACATGTCAAAGTTTATTTCACCATTGCTATGTAACCTGTGCTTACAATAAAAGAAGTTTGAGCTTTAAAAATAACTGTAAAATTTGATTTCATAAATAATTTTTATTTCTCGATGCCTTTAATTTGTGTGGTTTCTTAATGGGGTATTTTACCACTGACAAAATGGGCTTCCAATAAAACGTGGCTGCATATGCAGTAGAAAGGATTTATTTATTTATTTATTTTTCGAAATATGTGCTACCGGATTAAAGAAAACAGAAAAAAGGCTGCTGTTGTCTTCCGTTTTGCTAAATGGTGGGAATTAGGAAAACTTCCAACACCAAAAATAAAGGTCACGTAGGCCTACTGTATTTCACATCAAATACCTTACTCAGCTATGACTGTATAAGCCTTTTATTCTTAAAAACAATTCATACAATGACAAAAACACTGTTCCTTCATATGGTACACAATATTTTTGTCCATTTTGTAATTTGTGCATTGGATGATGTGGTTAAGGCCTCATCCTCATGAAACTCTGGATTCTGATAGAGGGTCATGAGACTTCGACCTGAGTGCAAAAATAGATGCTCCAGACCCTTCCAGAGCTGAGACATTCAGATACCACATAGCATTTATGCCATTATAAATATGTCAATATCTCAGCTCTGGAAGGGTCTAGAGCCTCCATTTTTGCACTCAGGTCTAAGTCTCATGGCCCTCTATCGGAATCCAGAGTTTCAAGAAGATCAGAGAAACTTTTTTTTGCACCAAAAAAGTCGACAGGGGTACCCCTGTCGTTTTTTTCGTGTCGACATTTTGAGTTTCTCTGATCTTGAAGATCAGAGGCGGTGAAGACCCTTCAGGTGGCCAAGGTGGTGAAGACCCTTCAGGCGGCCAAGGCTGTGAAGACCCTTCAGGCGGCCACGGCGGTGAAGACCCTTCAGGCGGCCGGTCTCGGGCAGGACGGTCTCGGGCTGGACGGTCTCGGGCGTTGGGAGTGGGGCTGGTGACGTCATCAACAGTGAAGGATGATCCGCAGGATACCAGCAACCACTCCACAAATTGGGCAAAGCTTTCTTGAGGTGGTTCCCCAGACAACTGCGCTCGAGTGGTGTTGTTCAGTCCCACACGTAGAAACGTGCAGAGGCAGTCATCTGGGAAACTGGTTTGAGGTATCAAATCCAGGAAAACCTCCAGGTGTTCCTCAAGAGAGCTGTTTCCCTGCCAGGGAACATTAGTCTTACTTCAGGGAAATCCATGTTTGGTTGTTTCTTCTGTCACGGTGTAGTATGAAATGAAGACAAAGCTCCAATACAAAACATTTACTCAAAAACTTCAAACAGGAACAAGGAAGACTGGCAGAAGATTACACACACTATCCATGAAACATAATCAAGAACCGACAAGAACAGACTGAAACAGAGAGAACTAAATACAGATACAAAATGAACACTAACAAGATGATGACAGGTGACAGATGATCAGGATGATGAACAGGTGGGTGATTGAGGGAATGAGTTCAGGTGTGGAGACAAGAGGATGCTGGGAAGTGTAGTGAAGATGACGAAGACAGAATGGTGCAGACAAAGACTGTGACAATTATATAGTCAGTGAATGGAAGGGTCTAGAGCCTCTATTTTTGCACTCAGGTCTAAGTCCCATGGCCCTCTATCAGAATCCAGAGTTTCAAAAAGATCAGAGAAACTAAAAATTTCAACCCAAAAAAAAAAAAAAAAAAAACCGACAGTGTTACCCCTGTCTTTTTTTTTTTTTTTTTTTGGTGCGAAGAAATAAGTTTCTCCAATCTTCTTGAAACTCTGGATTCTGACAGAGGGCCATGGGACTTAGACCTGAGTGCAAAAATGGAGGCTCTAGACCCTTCTAGCACTGAGATATTGAGATATTTATAATGGCAGAAATGCTACGTGGGATCTCAATATCTCAGCTCTGGAAGGGTCTAGAGCCTCCATTTTTGCACTCAGGTCTAAGTCCCATGGCCCTCTAACAGAATCCAGAGTTTCAAGAAGATCAGAGGAACTCAAAATTTTGTCCCAAAAAAAAACCCGACAGTGTTACCCCTTTCGTTTTTTTTCGTTTTCGGGTGAAAAATTAAGTTTCTCCAATCTTCTCAAAAATCTGGATTCTGATAGAGGGCCACGAAACTTTGACCTGAGTGCAAAAATGGAGGCTGTAGACCCTTCCAGAGCTGAGATATCGAAATTCAAAAATTCGACCCGAAAAAAAAATTACAGTGTTACCCCTTTCGTTTTTTTTTTTCGTTTTCGGGCGAAAAATTAAGTTTCTCCAATCTTCTCAAAACTCTGGATTATGATAGAGGGCCACGAAACTTTGACCTGAGTGCAAAAATTGAGGATCTAGACTCTTCCAGAGCTGAGATATCAAAATTCAAAATTTCGACCCGAAAAAAAACACAGTGTTACCCCTTTCGTTTTTTTTCATTTTCGGGCGAAAAATTAAGTTTCTCCAATCTTCTCAAAACTCTGGATTATGATAGAGGGCTGTGAGACTTTGACCTGAATGCAAAAATGGAGGATCTAGACCCTTCCAGAGCTGAGATATCGAAATTCAAAATTTCGACCCGAAAAAAAACGACAGTGTTACCCCTTTCGTTTTTTTTTTCATTTTCGGGCGAAAAATTAAGTTTCTCCAATCTTCTCAAAACTCTGGATTATGATAGAGGGCTGTGAGACTTTGACCTGAGTGCAAAAATGGAGGATCTAGACCCTTCCAGAGCTGAGATATCAAAGTTCAAAATTTCGACTCGGAAAAAAAAATACAGTTTTACCCCTTTCGTTTTATTTCGTTTTTGTGCAAAAAATTAAGTTTCTCCAATCTTCTCAAAAGTCTGGATTATGATAGAGGGCCACGAAACTTTGACCTGAGTGCAAAAATGGAGGATCTAGACCCTTCCAGAGCTGAGATATCGAAATTCAAAATTTCGACCCAAAAAAACGACAGTGTTACCCCTTTCGTTTTTTTTTTCATTTTCGGGCGAAAAATTAAGTTTCTCCAATCTTCTCAAAACTCTGGATTATGATAGAGGGCTGTGAGACTTTGACCTGAGTGCAAAAATGGAGGCTCTAGACCCTTCCAGAGCTGAGATATCGAAATTCAAAAATTCGACCCGAAAAAAAAATGACAGTGTTGCTGTGAGACTTCGACCTGAGTGCAAAAATGGAGGATCTAGACCCTTCCAGAGCTGAGATATCAAAATTCAAAATTTCGACTCGGAAAAAAAAACGACAGTGTTACCCCTTTCGTTTTTTTTAGTTTTCGGGCGAAAAATTAAGTTTCTCCAATCTTCTCAAAACTCTGGATTATGATAGAGGGCCGCGAGACTTTGACCTGAGCGCAAAAATGGAGGCTCTAGACCCTTCCAGAGCTGAGATATCGAAACTCAAAATTTCGACCCGAAAAAAAACGACAGTGTTACCCCTTACGTTTTTTTCAGTTTTCGGGCGAAAAATCAAGTTTCTCCAATCTTCTCAAAACTCTGGATTATGATAGAGGGCCGCGAGACTTTGACCTGAGCGCAAAAATGGAGGCTCTAGACCCTTCCAGAGCTGAGATATCGAAACTCAAAATTTCGACCCGAAAAAAAAACGACAGTGTTACCCCTTACGTTTTTTTCAGTTTTCGGGCGAAAAATCAAGTTTCTCCAATCTTCTCAAAACTCTGGATTATGATAGAGGGCCGCGAGACTTTGACCTGAGCGCAAAAATGGAGGCTCTAGACCCTTCCAGAGCTGAGATATCGAAACTCAAAATTTCGACCCGAAAAAAAAACGACAGTGTTACCCCTTACGTTTTTTTCAGTTTTCGGGCGAAAAATCAAGTTTCTCCAATCTTCTCAAAACTCTGGATTATGATAGAGGGCCGCGAGACTTTGACCTGAGCGCAAAAATGGAGGCTCTAGACCCTTCCAGAGCTGAGATATCGAAACTCAAAATTTCGACCCGAAAAAAAAACGACAGTGTTACCCCTTACGTTTTTTTCAGTTTTCGGGCGAAAAATCAAGTTTCTCCAATCTTCTCAAAACTCTGGATTATGATAGAGGGCCGCGAGACTTTGACCTGAGCGCAAAAATGGAGGCTCTAGACCCTTCCAGAGCTGAGATATCGAAACTCAAAATTTCGACCCGAAAAAAAAACGACAGTGTTACCCCTTACGTTTTTTTCAGTTTTCGGGCGAAAAATCAAGTTTCTCCAATCTTCTCAAAACTCTGGATTATGATAGAGGGCCGCGAGACTTTGACCTGAGCGCAAAAATGGAGGCTCTAGACCCTTCCAGAGCTGAGATATCGAAACTCAAAATTTCGACCCGAAAAAAAAAACGACAGTGTTACCCCTTACGTTTTTTTCAGTTTTCGGGCGAAAAATCAAGTTTCTCCAATCTTCTCAAAACTCTGGATTATGATAGAGGGCCGCGAGACTTTGACCTGAGCGCAAAAATGGAGGCTCTAGACCCTTCCAGAGCTGAGATATCGAAACTCAAAATTTCGACCCGAAAAAAAAACGACAGTGTTACCCCTTACGTTTTTTTCAGTTTTCGGGCGAAAAATCAAGTTTCTCCAATCTTCTCAAAACTCTGGATTATGATAGAGGGCCGCGAGACTTTGACCTGAGCGCAAAAATGGAGGCTCTAGACCCTTCCAGAGCTGAGATATCGAAACTCAAAATTTCGACCCGAAAAAAAAAACGACAGTGTTACCCCTTACGTTTTTTTCAGTTTTCGGGCGAAAAATCAAGTTTCTCCAATCTTCTCAAAACTCTGGATTATGATAGAGGGCCGCGAGACTTTGACCTGAGCGCAAAAATGGAGGCTCTAGACCCTTCCAGAGCTGAGATATCGAAACTCAAAATTTCGACCCGAAAAAAAAACGACAGTGTTACCCCTTACGTTTTTTTCAGTTTTCGGGCGAAAAATCAAGTTTCTCCAATCTTCTCAAAACTCTGGATTATGATAGAGGGCCGCGAGACTTTGACCTGAGCGCAAAAATGGAGGCTCTAGACCCTTCCAGAGCTGAGATATCGAAACTCAAAATTTCGACCCGAAAAAAAAACGACAGTGTTACCCCTTACGTTTTTTTCAGTTTTCGGGCGAAAAATCAA